GATCACTTGAGATTTCAGAGATGACCACAAATTCTGCTCTCCTTGCTGAAGTTTGCTAGAATGGTGATCCTTTCAAAAGGACATAGGGATGGCTTAATGGAAATAGTATTGGGGGAATAAAAGCAGCATCAACTTTAAGATGTGCATGCATTTGTTTGGGAAAAATGAACATTTTTAAGAGACAAGGAAAGAGACAATGTTATTGGTACCAAAAACATTTGAACTGAGTGTGAAATGAAGGAAATAGAAGTTGAATGTGATTTCTCATGATTTTAAACTGGTTTGTAATTTGGCAGAATCTATTATGGATGGAAACGTCACTTCCAAATGCCCATAGTTGATTCTTATATTAAAATATCTTAGTCCCTTTTATTCTGGTCACATAATGACATACATATGCACAATGTTTCTGTTCTGGGTTGTAGTATGCACCCTTTGGCACAATGAGCCACCATTGTATAGTTTGTAATGCAGGCAAACTCAGAATGAGTACTCATTAGCAGCCTTTTTTTTTTCTTACCACAAAGGGTTGTCTTTAGTGGGGTACATATAGCAAAGGAGTTTTAATTAAATCTTCTCCTAAATATCTTTAATCAGTAATCAGTATATTATCTAACATCATTTGCATTTTGCCTCGGAAAAACAAAAAATAATATTACACTGTCATGTTTACAGTATATGACAAATGCTCATTTAAAAAACTGTCCTTATCAAAATATTGCAGGTTAATATTCAAATAATTTCTTCTTTTAGAGTGATAATCTTCTGGTTACATCTTATATGAAAGGAGCAAGTAGTTCTACACCAGTGCAAGAGACAGTATGTATTGTGCAATTGTTTATTATGTCAATATTTTTGGAAATATTAATCTATACCAGTATTGTCACCACCAGCACTCCTCCTCCTCTGACCATGTTGTAAATTTAGCCCTTTAAAAATGCCTGGAAACCAAACATTTTGGCTGAAGGACATGGTTTTTTTTCCAAAACAGAATTTTGGAATTTGGGGTCTAGTTCAAACTAAAGGGTTTTTTTTCTGTCAGCGAACCATAAAGTCAGTTATTTGCCCAGCTCTAGTTCAAATATCTCTAATGGGATAATAAAAATATTGGTGACTTCCACTTTTATATTTAGTCAGTGATTCCCTAATTTCCCTAAATCAGTCACAATATGAGATACAAATTTTGATTTCCCTTGCTTTTTTCTAAGTATATTGCAAGCTTGTAATTTCAGTTTTGTAATTTTTCAACCACTGAACATTTTATTGTAAGACATTGCAAAAATGCACAGCATTGTCAAGTCTGCCTTTTATCTTGTGCATTCTGCAGAATATTTACCTTTCACTTGTGACTTACTGGTTTTCACAGTATTATTTCCAAGGAGTCCTTACATTTTTCAGTTAGTTGGTATTCTCAGAGCACCCCTTCCTGACTGAGATTGTATAAGCCGCATCCATATAAATTTTACACTGGTAGTGATGTTTTTGATTTTATTGTTGCCTTTCTTGATGGGGAGGACAGGTATGTTTGAGAGGGAGGTATTCAGTTACTCAATTTCTTTGGTCCTATAGGGTATGTCTACACTACAGCATTAATTTGAGTTAACTTAATTCTAAATAGTTAATTCGAATTAAACTAATTTGAATTAACGCATCTGCACACAAAATCTATTTTGAAATAGCGCGTCTACACTGAGTGGACTCTGAATCAGAGTTAAGGCTGGCCGGAACCAGTTCCGGCAGGGTACCAGGTCAGGACTTAATGTATGGGGCTGCTGCCTGAGGCTATCTGAGGTCTGTGCTTAAAGGGATCCTATCTCCACCCAGACAGACAGTTCTCAGGTTTCCCTGCTTGCTTGTATACTTCGATGAGGGACAGCAAAGCATTTGTGTCTCTGCGTGCTCTGTTTGCCCTCACTCGGGATACCACAGCACTGCCACAGGGAGCCAGAGCTGCTCCTGGGCACTCTGGTGCGTCTTGTGGACACGTTGCCATCAGTCTGGCTGCACTTGCTGCAGACTGCCATCTGGGAGGTCCATCGGGAGGCTGTCAGTATCCAGGGGGCCCTACAGGAGAGCTTCTGCCCCGGGGAGCACTAACAGTCTCCCTGGTCTGCCCCACTGGGGGCTTGTGCCCCATTCCTCCCTCACGTCCTTCCACTTACCCCTCCCTAGCCCGCACTTCCTGGTGTCAAATAAAATACCCTTTTTTTCAAAAATGGAAACTCTGTTTATTTAACAAAATGTGGGGGGGAGACTAGGGAAAGGAGGTGGGAGACGGGAGGAGAGAGGGCGGGAGAGGGGAGGGGGAAAACTGGAAGGAGGAAACTGGAAGGGGGAAGCAAGGGGAAAAAGGGAGGGGGAAGCTCAGTGCTCAAGGGTGGGGGTCTCGTCAGGCCACATGTCTCCCAGCACAGTGGGTGCGGGGGCCTCAGCGTCCCCGGGAGGATGCAGAGGACGGTGTGGAGGTGGAGGTGGGGGGTGTGGAGATTGAGGAGGAGGTTGAAGAGGGAGAGATGGGAGGGGGAGAAGAAGTGGGAGGAGGAACGGTAGCTGAGGGGGCAGCAGGCGCTGGAGCGGCACGAGGCAGCATGTTCTGCACCAGGGTCTGCAGATGGGTACAGATGGCACAACCCTGGGCAAGCAGCTCCCTCCGGAACTCCATTCTTCGTGTGCCTGCTGCTCCATGATGCGGGTCAGGGCTCACAGGGCCCCAGCTGCTGCTCTCGATACCCCTGCTCGCTGCCCCCTGGGGTGGCACGGACCACACCGCCCCCAAAGATGCGGTCCAGTGCCTCGAAGTAGGGGCAGATGTCTGCCCCTGCTGAGGAGCTGCCCTGAGTAACCCTGGTGTACCCCTGCCACATCTCTTTAATTTTCAGGCACACCTGCTTCTGGGTGCGCCTGTGGCCTTTTTGAACCATGGTGGCAGCTATGCAGTTGTAGACGGCCGCGTTCCTCCATCTAGTGCGGAGATCATGGACATTGGGGGCCTGCCCCCAAACCTCAATGAGGTCCATGATTTCCTCACTAGTCCAGGAGGGAGCTCAGCATCTACGACCCCTGGCTGGCTCCTGGGTGCTGGGGGACTGGGCGGGGGACGGCTGGCTGGCACTGGCTGCCCGGCTCATGGTGGGACCACTCGGTCAGGAGCAGAGACTGCTGGCAGGCCTGGATCTGGCACATGCAGTCTGGCCAGAGTCTACCCCTTTAAGGGCTCCGGGGCTGGGGGAGAGGAGAGGAGTTTTCCTGCTTTGGCCCAGAGTGGCCACCAGGGGAAACTGGGAAGAGCTGGAGGCCAGCTAATTCGAATTAAGTGTCTACACAGCACTTATTTCGAATTAGCTATTTCGAATTTAGTGTTACTCCTCGTAGGATGAGGTTTACCAAATTCGAATTAAGCGCTCCGCTATTTCGAATTAATTTCGAAATAGCGGTTTGCATGTATAGATGCTATTAAAGTTAATTCGAAATAATGGCTGTTATTTCGAATTAACTTTGCAGTGTAGACATGCCCTTAGATATGTTAGTGGCAGCTAAGTGAAAGTTTGGATAGATTCATGTCTAATTAGTAGCTAAGCTGATCTTAATGGTTTGAGGCTGGCCAAATGACAAAGTACCACACTAAATTCACAATTATAGAAGCATTCTCTTTTCAATTTCTTTAATATCCCTAGTTGCTGTTTGTGATATACAGGTGTGCTTTGCTGGGAAAAAATAGTCTGTGTAAAATATACTATAATTGTGTCTTTGGGAGAAGGGGGAAGATTCCTACGTGTACAGATCTTCTCTATTGTTTTTACTCTTTTCTATTCTCTTGGTCAAAGTGGGACAGAAACCACTCCCTGATCATATAAGTTGTGAAAGCTAAATAAGAAATGATCCCTGGTACTTTTATTTTCAGGGTAGTTGGAAAGGCTGTGATTGGTGGTTGTGTATTTTATGTTGTATGGAAAGGGGGAGAAGCCTATTAAAACTTTTCTAATGAAGCATGATGCAGCAGTGAAGAATGTTTCAAAGGCAAATGACTTTATTATATAGGCAATATGTGGACCCAATATTCAAATGTTTATAAGAGATATTTGATTCAAAACAAAATATTACAAATAAATGAAAGGATCAAAACAAAGCTTTATAATGAAATTGTTCTATTGGAGTTTTCCATCTAGTAAAACAGTCACATTGTTGGAGTATTTATTCAAACATACATGTTTCGTGCACGCATACAAAGAATTAGATCCAAAAGGGGTGTAACAATTCTGAGAAAGTGAATGTATTAAGTATTTTTTGTTTTGCTTAAGTCAATTGCTTATAAAACTAGCAGCTGCTGTTTTGAAGCTAATCTTAGTGTATTGAGTGTTCTTAACCATTTCTACAATCCCACAGTCCTTTATCTTGCTTCTCCTGCTGCGTTCCCACCACCCTGATCCCATTAGCAAGAATTGAGACAGCCTCAGCTTTTACCAAAGTGCAGCTTTGGTTTCAGCTGCTTTTCTGCAAGAGGAAGTGAATGTTGGGCTTTTTTCTCTGTGGCACAGTTGTGATAAAGATGTGGTGGTCTTATCTCTCTTTTAGGTAGTGGCTCTCTATGACTACACAGCGCATCGATCAGATGAGCTAACCATCCATCGCAGTGACATTATCCAAGTGTTATACAAAGATAATGATAACTGGTGGTTTGGCAGCTTAGCAAATGGACAGCAAGGCTATTTTCCAGCTAATTATGTGGCTGGTGAAAGTAAGTTTACTGCTCTCTTCCTGGTATACCGGTGTGGGTATAACTGATGGTCCAAGATTTTGCCATGCTATTGTACTTTATTACTTTGAATACATGTGTGTATACAATGCACATGATAAGTCAAAAACTTACTGTGATGCAGAAATTGTGCAAAAATAGCATGTTAACATGTAGTACTTTGTTTTTTTCAAAAGTATCAACACTGCAGTCTCACGTTCCAGTTCACACAGTATCTCCACATTTACCAACCACCTCCTTCCTCACTCACCCTCCACCCCCCTCACACAAACACCTGGTTCACATAGTATCTTGGCAGCTCTTTTGGGCTCCTGCAGCATCTAGACAGCTCACAGCCATCTGAGCCTTCCACTTTGTAGTTACTCCTAGACTCAGCCGTCTCAGGCTCCTAAACGTTAACTTTACTTGTGGAGGTTACATAACTTTTACCCTTTCCAGTGGCAATGTTTCATTTCTCGGTAATTCGATTCTGTTTTATAGATTTAAAAGAGGAATGTCAGTTAAAGCAGTGGAATCAGATACAAGTTCTGAATTTGCCACTGGGTCCTACCCATTAAAAACAGCTTCAGCGGAACATGGATGCAGCCTTAATCTCAAAACAAAATTAAACTAAAAGCTGATTGTAGAACACAGGGAGCAGTCTCTGAAGCCCCTCTGGCATAATGCTGCTAGGGGTTCCCGGTCAGTTCAGAACTTTCCAGTTATGGGACATCTGCAAGCATCTCAAGGTGAGAAATCCACTGGGATTATCTCATCAGAGAATAAGAATTACAATTATCTAATTTTATTTTCTAAATAAGTGATGATATTGTGGTATAGATCATAGGCATTGCCCAACCAAAATAACCTAAAGGTTGATATCTGGGATTTAATCTTCAGCAGCAGCCTTTACCACTGGGGAAAGGTGAAAAATAAATCTTATAACTAATCTTACCAGTTGTGCAAAATAACTTCAGGAGATGTGTCCTTACCTTATCTGGTGACTTTCTGATACTATTCAGTGGTATTACACATCACTAACAGTATTTTTGATAGCCTTTGAAACATTGTTGCTATAACCACAAATGCTACTCTTTACTCATACATTCCTAATCCTTTTTTTAATATTTCATGAGTATTTATGATTGTAATGGTCCTAACTATGCTACAGTAAATAATTATGCTAAAGACTAGAGTTTATTGGAAAATTTTAATTAAAAAGGAAAAAAAAGTTCTAATGAAAAAAAATGTGAAAAATATTTTCTGACAAGCTAAGTTAATGTCTCAGAGATAGATAATAATAGTGTCATTGTCATTCACATAAAGAAAGGTATACATGTTCATTAACTTCAATATAAATTACATAATTTTCATGATAAACATAATGGTAAATTGAATCATGTGTTATATTTTTAGCTGAATATGAAAAGGAACAGCCTTCGGGATTAGTACCAGATTCTACTCCTCTTCTACATAGTAAACAAACAGAAGCAGAAGTAAGATATCCAGCTCTACGTGGGGTAATTATTTGAGAAGAAGGGATGATAAACTATAAAATATGAATTTTAATTTTCCTGCTTTTTTGATAAAATGCTGAACAATCAGAGCCTTTCCCCATGCAAACATCTGTGTTTTCAGCTGGTGTTTAATACAAATTTGTTTCCTAGATCCAATTACTTCCATGTTTTGTCAGTTAAATGGTGTGCCTGCTCCTACTCTCAATGAAGTCAGTAGCAAAGTGTTATTGAAATGAATGGCAAAGCTCCCATTTATTTCAGAGGGGACAGGAACATGAACACAGGTACATAGAAGCATGAGCATGAAGATGAATTTATAGTAAATTATCTCCTTTTTTTTACTTTTTAGATACTTACATTCAGCATTTAATCCTAGGCAACACAACAGCCACAGTGCATATATATATATTTTATCATCTTCCCAATTGTATTCCTTATTCTGTAAAATTTCTTATTTATCAAATCGCTTAGATGAAACCTACATGACATGACTGGTGGAAGAAGTTATTTTCAGTCCCTGTAATAATTTCCTAATTTGCATTCATTTTTGAAACCATAAAGACTCTACACCAAACAGCACAATATGCCACATCAAAATCTGTTTATTTGAGCAACAGACATTATTATTCAAAAGAAGCTGAAGCTCCTCCCTGTTTTCTCCTGGTGATTTGGGGAGAGGAATTAATAGTGCCTATGCCTATTGCATTACCTGTCTAATTTGGAGAAGTGATATTCTCATCCTCTGAAGGAAGGGTGAAAATTACAGGATAATTTGTTAGCAGAAATAACATGCTTACTAAGTAGTGGAAACAATTTCAGTGAATATTAGTGAGAATTTAAAAGTGATTTTTGAATTGAACATGTTTATGACCCTTTTCTGTTTGCCTTCCACAAATGTTCAAATAATCAAACTTCACTAACAAATACTTACAAAAAATTTGACTTCGAATTTTCAAATATTTTTCTAAACTGAAATTCAAATTTTGTTCGATTTGTAAGATTCAAACTATATATTGTATTGCTTAGTTAAGTAAATCATCCAAAGAAAATATCATGTAATTTGTTACCAACATATTGCAAAGTTTGAGAGTCAGATATTCAGATAAATCCACTTACTGAGGACTTCTAATTATATTTTTTGTAAAATTAGTCATGATATTAATTTCTGCTGCTTCTTTTTTACACAAGTATTCCACTATAAGCATTTGTGAGAAACTGATAGCCAAACCAGTATTCCAAATAACAAGCATAAATTAGATGCAAATGTATACTCTATTTAAAAAAACCCCACAAATGTAGGAAATGGTATTATATTACTAGATAGTGAATAATTTCTGTTTGTATAGTCTAGCCTTGATTTTCCCAATATCTGCATTGCCATTTTGTTGCTTAATTGCACTGGGAGGCATTTTAAAATCTTAGCCCATTTCCACTGTCTTCTTATACTAGCTGTAGATTAGCCTAATCAGCTCATCAGTGATACCTTTAGAAACTCTGCTTATCAAAGACACACAGAAATTAGAAAGGGAAAAGAGCTATTGTAGTTAGAGTTAATAGAGATTGTTTTTCTGTTTGTCTTAAGTTTTTTTTATCCAGAGTAAACCTAATTAGATAATTAAATAACAACAACCTTTCAGTATAACAATGAACATCAATCACAACCAATTTGTAACAAATAACCAAGTTGGTAAAATAGTGATTGAAATGTAGCCGTGTTAGTCTGGGGTAGCTGAAGCAAAATGCAGGACAATGTAGCACTTTAAAGACTAACAAGATGGTTTATTAGATGATGAGTTTTCGTGGGCCAGACCCACTTCCCCCAAAGGACTGAAAGTGAACAATCCACTAAGATCAACATACTTCACTGACTACAGTGAAAGACTCTGCCTCACACTATCCAAGAAATTAAGAAACCACCTGATAAGTATTTTATACAAGAAACAGAAAACCATCAAGAATGACATTTCTAACTTAGATCGTCTCATCTCAAGACAAACATCCACACCGACTGACACCTTGCAAGACTTTTGTTCCACCAGACAAGAAATCTACTATACACACTTCTATTCCCTACAACAAAGAAAAGACAATAAATTTTCTAACCTGCTCCATACCACTGGCTACAACAGCAACTGCCTCAACCCACCGGATAATATTGTTAACCTCTCCAGCTACAAACTCAATCCAGCAGAAGAGTCTGTCTTGTCCCGGGGTCTCTCTTTCTGCCCCACGTCCCCCACAAACTGGATACAATTTTGTGGTGACCTTGAGGCTTTTTTTCGCCGCCTCCGTCTCCGAGAATATTTCCAAACCACCACTGAACATCAATCTGACCTACCAGATCCCCCCTACCAACACCAAAGGAAAAATAATTCTATATGGACTCCCCCTGACGGTCGGAATTACAATCTGGATTTCTATATACACAGCTTCCGCAACAACGCACAGACTGACATTATTCGCAAACGACAACAAGCGACACACAATCTTAGCCGCGCTGAACACCATGCCATCCAGAGTCTCAAAAACAACCTGGACATTGTAATCAAACCAGCTGACAAAGGGGGTGCTGTGGTCATTATGAATAAGGCCGACTATAACCAGGAGGCAACCAGACAACTCTCGAACACCACATTTTACAAACCTCTCCCCTCTGATCCCACCTTGGACTACCAAAAGAAACTACACTGTCTCCTTAAAAGCCTCCCCACAGCTACTCGGGAACAAATCCTCACAGAATCACCTTCTGACCCCCGACCAGGATTGTTCTATCTACTTCCCAAGATCCATAAACCTGGGCACCCCGGACGTCCCATCATCTCTGGTATTGGCACGCTCACTACTGGTCTATCCAGCTATGTAGACACTCTTCTCAAACCCTTCGTAACCAATACCCCCAGCTATCTCCGAGACACTACTGACTTCCTAAGGAAATTACAAAACATCGATAACCTCCCCAATAATACCATCCTTGCCACCATGGATGTAGAAGCTCTATATACCAACATCCCACATGAAGACGGATTACAAGCAATTAGAAACACTATCCCAGAGGACACTACTGCCAACCTGATAGCAGACCCTATGTAACTTTTTCTCACCCACAATTATTTCCAGTTTGAGAACAACTTATACCTCCAGATCAGCGGCACAGCCATGGGTACACGCATGGCCCCACAGTATGCTAACATCTTTATGGCTAACCTAGAACAATGTTTCCTCAACTCCCATCTCCTTTCACCCCTTCTCTACCTACGGTACATCGATGACATCTTTATGATCTGGACACATGGCCAAGAAACACTGGAGATATTCCACAGAGATTTCAACAACCTACACCCCACCATCAACCTCAGCCTGGACCATTCTACACGAGAGATCCACTTCCTGGACACCACAGTACAAATCAACAATGGAAAATTAGACACCACTCTCTACAGAAAACCCACTGACTCATACAGTTACCTACATGCATCCAGCTCCCATCCAGAACACACCACACGATTGGTAAAGGAGCAGTGCTCACAATTGGAATGGTCATTTACTTCTGTTTATGGCCATATTGTTGAAAGTAAGTCATTTTTATATCTTCATATTAATTTGTTCTGTAATAGTAGATTCAGTAATATTTTAAGGGAAAATATTTAAAATATCCAAGTGTGTGTATGTTTGTGTGTTTAATCTTTAGCATCTACTTCAAAATTAAATTTACCGAGAATGTACTAATAGTGAACAGGGCATCTTTGCAGACCATTCAATGTCCAATGATAGTCAAAAAAATCCAAACAAAATGTTATTGTATATATATGAAAAATGGGATAAAAATGCAATATTGAGAATATTAAAATACTATTAAATATCTGATGTCCTCCCTGGAGCACTGCATTCCATTCTTGAGATCCTGTATCAAAAAAGATACAGCAGAAAGAAAAGGAGTTTGCTTCAGAAATTTTAAAAAAATGTTTAAATAGAGGAAATTGTGAGTAAGGCGATTGTATAAACTGTTCAGAAAGTTGTTTGGATTGTTGTAGCCTTGTTGGTCACAGAAATATTTGAGAGGTAAGGTGAGTGAGGTATCTTTTATTGGATTAACTTCTCTTGGTGAAAGAGACAGGCTTTCAAGCTCTTCTTCAGGTCTAAGCTCAGTATAAGCTCAAAAGAGGTAATAGAGGTATAATACCTCTCTACTCCTACTGAAGATCCTTCTGTTCATGTATCCAATGATTTCATAAGGCCTTTTGGCCACAGTGACTCTCTTTGAGAACATACTCAGATGAGTATCTACCAGGACCCCAAATTTTTTTCAGAGCCACTGCTTCCCAGGATAGATTCTCCCATCCTCTAATTGCCTAAACCAGTATACTTCAGGACATTAGCCTGCCACGGATTAGGGAAACTTAGAAAGATAGTTCTCTATGGGAAGGTTATTCTTTAACAGTTAATCTTGGAGTTTTTTGTACTCTCCTCTAAATCATTTGTTAGTGACCAAAGAAAGAGGATACTGGACTAGATTGAACATGTCCTAAATTAATATGCAATCTCTATGTAACAGAATGTACACAGCGCTTATTCTGGCTACTTTTTTTATTCTCTTCCTAAGCTTTCTAAAGATGTCAGTAAATATACCAATTATTAGAGGAGATCAAATAGTGTCAATTATATTTCACAGGAAATGTTAAGGAAAAAGTTTTTTTAAATATCATATGAATTTTGTCCCAAAACAAACAAAAACAGCAAAAGCCAAAACAAAAAATAAACAAACAAAATAACCATTCGCACTGTGTGAAAATGTTTGACAACCCGCCTCCCCCCAAAAAAATTGCTGAAAATAGTTACTTTACAGTTTGTTTTTTATTCCACTGAACACTAGAAAACTATTATTGAAATTATTTCTTTTGTGTTTGGCTAAAAAACCACCTTATTTCAAAAATGTTTAGACAGAGTTTTGACTAACTCTACCATTTATGTGCTTTGTTATGTGCTTTTTGAGAAAAGCTCAAATA